ACACACACAGACAATCCCGTGACAATATGCGTTTTGTACTGCTGTTACACAGCACAAAACACATAATAAAATACATGCCACTGAGCGAATTGAAAGATAATAATTATAGCAATAGCAATAATAATAAAACAATAACAATAGTAAGAGCAACAGTAATATTGATGCCGACAACGATGACAATAATAATAACGACAGTAATAATAAAAAACAACAACAACAATAGCAATAATAATGAGAGGTAAGAAAGAAAGAAAAATAGAATGTTGCAAAGAACTAAATCACCGAGGAATCGCTCTGCTCACGACGTTCCTGTTTCGATTTCAAAAGTATAAACAGAGAACACCAGGTGTGATAAGTCAAGCCTTATAATAACTAATAATTGTTATATTTTAAGCTAAATGCACCTTTCTTATTTTTCGGCTGAAAGGCCGCTGTTGCAGACGTATATCAACTTTGCAAACACTTTGGTTCTAAGCATGCTTTTTTTGCTAAAAAAACTTGCAGTCGTGGCTGAACGGTGCGGTGAAAATGAGGAGTATCAGCAATGTGGAACCGCATGTCCTGAAACATGTTTGAGCAATGACACGAAAACATGTACAGTAGAATGTGTACCGGGATGCTTCTGCAAAAGCGGGTATGTCCTGAATCGCGCAAATGGTACATGCGTGAAGCGCGAAACTTGCGGAAGTAAGACAATTTGCTTCTTCATAAGAAACTGAAATTTTCACGAAGCATGCCAGATTGTTACTAAATAATTTATCGAAAGTCCTTTTCCCCCTCACCCGAAAGTCCTTGCTCCCCGCCCATAAGGGGTCGAGGCAGTCAAGAAGAAGCCTTAGTGATAGCAAAATGCTTATAGCAACTATCCGCGGGCAAGATTGCTGATGATTTTCTCTTCCTGGTTTGCTTACAAGTAAGCTGATGGTGGGTTTGACTCCCTAGCATTTTATGTTCCGTACCAATTTACCATCGAATTGAATGAGCGAATCGTACAGAGAGAATGGCAGTGCATTCGACCTTTCCAAGCAGTTATGAATAATTTATCCATTTTTAGCCTCAGAATACGTACAGTGCCCAGAAAATGAAATTTTCACGTACTGTGGTGGCTGTGAGGGAACGTGTCAACAGCAATTTGTTCAGTGTCCTGATATTTGCGGCTCACCACGTTGTGAATGCCCAGCCGAGAAAAATTTTGTGCGTGATGATTTTGGTGTTTGTATAGACATTAAGGACTGTTAAAATGAATGATTTTTGAAAACTTCATCACGTTTTTACAAAAATTCCCACAAAAATTGTGAAGGATTGAAATTCTGCCGTGAAAATTCACAAGATGCGTGACAAATTTTTCACCACCAGCCCCTCGATCAAAAAGTATTTACACCCGAAAAGCCAACTTTTGATAATATGAAGTTTGCGAGAAGCACTTTTTTGCTATTCACGCAATGATATTCTTTTACAAAGTAAAGTCAATATAAAGAAGTACTGATTCACATTCCGTAGAGTAAATGTGCGGCGGGGTTTCGACTTTTTGACAATTTCAATTTCGAGACACATTATGACACATTATGGGCGGCGACTTTCTCTGGATTTATTGGAAGTAAACCGTTGTTATGCTTACCCTAACTATTCAGTTTGCTTATGATAATCAGCACTGACTATCTTGAAAAAAAAACTAATCCGGATTTTCTTGATAAAATCATTTTCTGTGTATCTGCTTCACATTGAAACATCTAACATATCAAGGAAATCCCGCGAAAAGCTGGCAGGAGCTGAATGGAAAAAGTGTGCGTTGCATGATGAAACAACGTTAGATTGTAAGAAGCTCAGGTAGAATGACACATCAGATTTGCCGGGGCGATTATGCATTTCTGCGCTAGATATGAAACAGCTAAATCGTTGACAACGTAAACAATCACTGTGTTGCAGTTCAATACGTGGTCTCTTGTTGTCTGTGTTTTGGCCTTTCCTTGCATGCAGGGGGAAAGGGCAACGCTTGGGACAATAGCGCTGTGTCACAGGATTGCGTGGAATCGTCACCTCAAGCACGCGTGACTGCCGTAAATTTATCCAGTCACCGATCGTTCATCAAAAAATGCAAATTAGACAAAGAGTAGAATGTCGAGATAAAAGAAGATGACGGAATGCGCTTGTTTCTGAGACTGCGGTAAAACTAAATATTTGTTATGTGATCTTAAGCTGAAGTTAAATTTAGACTACCTGTTAATACAGAGTATCCTTGCAATGCTCCAGCTCCTCAGCAAGTTTGATACCCAAAATCGCACGCGCTTTAAGCCATGGTGCAAGCACTCTGACTCGGACATACGATTTCCCAAATGGACGATAAATATTCTGGCGAAGTAACAGTTGTTATTTTCTGGCCGGTCTCTGAGTTGGCACGATGCCAATTGTGAACTGACGTGGCCTACGCGCTACGCAAGCATATGCGATAGTTGAATTTAAAATCTTTAGTTCAAATTTGGACAGAAAATACTTGAACAATTCCAGCTTATTAGTTTTGCCGTAAAAAACTTACATTTTTCAGGTTTTCGTACGTGAGATCCAGTATTGATCCCGAAGTGGGAGAATGACAAATGGGGTTGGAATATGCTTCTACAATTTCAGTCTTCCAGCTTTTCCCATTGCTGAGTTGAAAATGGATGACAAAATTCACTTGTTTTTGAGTACACGCGTACAAATACTCGCAACCTCTCGACAATATGTGTTTTTGCATTTGCATAAGAACGCACAAAAACATAGACTGTTGAGATTTACAAGACAGTAATGAGTGGGATCTTTAATGATATAGCTTAAGATGAACGAGAAAGCGCAGCTGCTGTTTGAAAAGATCACACAGACTGATGATTTTTGCGAAATAGTGTGCAGTCAGAGAGCGAGAAAATACCAAGTTGACAGTGACTCATCGAAATTCAGGATGTGTGACGCCTCGTGATTGCTTTGGTCTGTCATCGGTGCTTGTCTGGGCCGGCGTTGCCCGGGTTTCAGTTTGAGGGCGGATTGCTGGGGAGAGTAGGGGTAAGTGCTTCGGAAAGGGGGGGGGGAGGGGGGAGTCTGGGTTTCTTGAGGTCTGGAAGGAGACGATGTGTGTCACTGAGTAAGTGTATTTCCAGGTGAAAAGAGCAATGTATTGTGTTCGTACCCCGAGAAATCTCACGCCCTGGCATTTGCATGCTTTCCTGTTACGCCACAGTTCGTCACACACCCCGGCACCGGGTCGAATCTACTCGCAGAAGCAACTGTTCGAGGAGAAACGAGCCGCTATGCAGGTCAGTCTTTACGTTTTCCTTGCAGTACAGCTTGCGTGCTTGCTCTCTTTTAATGGTAAACGATTTGGACCATATTTGCAAGCCCCGTTGTCTCGGATTTGGAAGATTTTTTTACAATTCCAGTGTCTTCATTAATTATCAAAATTCGACTGTGTTCCTCTCCGCGCTGATGGGCCAGTAACGCCAAACAAACTGCATATGATTAACACATAGACTCGATTTCAGGCCCCGTCCTTTTCCAATCTCCTAGCCAGGAATATTCATTGTTTGTATCACAACACTTAATGGACCGAAACGTCTTACCTCTCTTCTCTGTTACCTCCTTCCCTCTCATTCTCGTCTTCCTCGCCTTCGATTCTTCCATTTAGTTTGCTTCTTCATTAAAATTTGGAGATCGATGGAATGACTCACACTGCTTCACTGCTGCTGCTGCTGAAAACTTAGGATTTCCAGACCCTGAAGCTCTGGAATGCGGAATTTCATGATTGCAACGTTCTGGAGACTTGCAATAGCTTAATTATGGTGTTTGGTACTCACATATCTGTGTCCGCCTTCCCAAAACTAGAAGCTAAGAATATACCACGCCTCGAAGTCATGCTGCTTCATTGGTGGGAGTTCAGAATTCGCAGACCCTGGGTGATCATGCCTGGATCTGGGAGACTCGCGATTGTCCACTTCCAAGAACTTGCATTGCTTCGTACGCATACACCTGAGAATGCAGTTTCCTGTTATCATAGGCGAATCCAGCGGAGGAAGGGGGCGCTGAGTCTTTTGCTTCCGACCCCTCCCTCCCCAGCGGCACGGGTAGCAGTGCTAAACTGCCCCCCCCCCTCCCGTCCCCACGCCGAAAGGCCTCACTCCCCCTGCCCAGCTCGTCGCCCCTTCCGCCCTCCCAGGAGGTCAAGCTGGATTCGTCCGTGCCTGTTACCATTTTGAATAGCGTTTGTAGTTCTGTTTAGGCCTACTAACGGATTTTGCACCTAATGTCGAGCAGCTGTTTACAGATTCTCTCCCTCATCTGCCTCGTGGTACCTCCCTTTTTTTTGCTGTCACTGTTGTGTCGTTTCCAATGCATATAGCCATTGGGGGAAGTTTTTGCTAAATGTCAGCTGTTATAAAAATCGTTAATATTTCGAGAACGAAACTACAAAGAATATGGGCTCCATTGGGAGGAGCGCAAAGAACGTTCACAAAAGAAGGCATTGTGACTTGCTAGTTTTTGCGTTATGAATGTAATGAAAATCAGCAAGAGGTTGTGGAATGAATTGAAGTTGCAATTTGATTGAGCTGCGCTCGCGCACCATCATTATCTTTTGATTTATCAAAATTATTCTACAGTGATTTTGCTGTTATGTGAAAGTTTTAAAAGCAGCAGCGATGGGTAATTGTCTGGAATTGAGGATACTCTTTAAAGTATTGCGGTAAATTGAGATTTTTTGAGCGGCTAATTCATCCTGACTTAAGATCGTAATTCTGATTGTGTGCTGACGATTTCAGGACCGGAAAGATAACAATTGTAAAATCATTCATTTTTACATACACAATCTTGTCATACCATGATAGCCAATAGCCATTTTAGTGTTTCAGGCGAATCATCCCGAGAAATATGCGTTGGCTTCGCAATTCATGGCAAATCGAGCCGATCGTCCAATAAATTTTAAGTCCGACGATCCGAAGGGTTTTTTTTTTAAACATTTAAAGGCTCTTTTCTTTCCTATCTCCCCTCCTTTTCGCGTCCCTCCCTCCTTGCCTTCCCCTCCTTCCTTCTTTCTTCCCTCCCTCCCCCCCCCCTCGTCTTCCCCGTATTCCTCCTCCCTCAA